GCTCAAGGTAAATAGCAGGGGTACTGGACCATATATGGCAGCAATATTCTAAGCATGGGTGAATGGTAGACATATAGATATGAAAAGAAAATTTCATAATATATCTATGAACAAATCATCTTGAGACACTGATCCCATAATGCATAGTGAGAGAAATTTTTTAACTCAGTTTGCATCAAACCAAATAATTCAACAATAAATATCAACCCATCTAAGACTCTAGAGCCACTAAAAGTAGAGAGTTACAATAAAAATGGTAATAATAAATTAAGTTTGGTAAATAGACAAAGTTATATATATATATATATATATATATATATATATATATATATATATATATATATATATATATAGACAGTATATCTTCATTCCAAAATGTTTCATTGAATAATATAGACATATTATATCTATTTATTTTCATATTAATCCTTTCCAGTTCTCTAATCAGTTTCTTGATCTTAAAAGAAAATCCATCAAGGAAAGCACCATAGTTTTTTTCTACCCAAGTACTTTCGATCAAACACACACACATATATCAGTATTCAGCAAAAATCTCAGTATATATATATATATATATATATATATATATATATATATAAGTATTCAGATATCCTCACCATTCTACAGAAGGATGCTGAGGATACCATATGAGCAATGATGAGATTTTAGAGAAAATCGAAACAAAAAGGGCAGTTAAAATTTCTGGGGCTTGGAAAATATGATACTCACAGGACGGATTGAGAGGAAGCATGACTGTGTAAAAATCAGCCCATAACATAAATGATGCTCTTGAGTAAACAAATGATGCAACAGGGTTTAGGAGAAATAACAAAACAACAAAATTTATTAAGAGCTATAAAGGACAAGGAAATTTTGGAGAGCCATGATCACCTACATCCTCAGGGGACAAGGCACATAAAAATGATTAGACAGGGAGACTTGAGTTATACCAATTGATATTAGTATTTCAGTTAGTGATGTCTTTTTTTTATCAAAAAACCGAGCAATCATAAAAAAATGGATATTTCAAAGTTTAAAAACAAGGCAAAAGAAAATAAAAAGTAAATAAAAACAGATATTTATGTTTAATCTAAGATTATTTCTTGATGTTATATTTTAGTGGATGCATGTGTTTGTGTAGATATCCTGAAAGTGAATTACTTCTACTGACCTGTGTATTTTAAAGCAGTTTAAAGCTACATCTGTTTGAAGTTTGCTGTTGGACATATTTTCTTTATTAAGACACTTGAATGCACAGGCAAGTACGTGTAATGCACACTGTTTAAAAAAAAATAAAACAGAGAGTCAACATAATGTTTAAGTAATAAAAAATAATGTTGGATTAAAAATAAATTCCTTAGAAATTATTTTGTTTATGTTCTGGGTGCAAAAATAAATTCAGAGTATATGGACTCATTTGCAAGATCTGAATGTGAAGATATGCATTGTTTAAAAGAGTCATTAAACCTTGCTGGGCTGTGAAGCACTCAGTGGCCATTCAGTCTAACACATGCTGGATCAGATAGTGGTTTCCCTTGTATAGGGGCACATATGCCATTTATTAAATTTTTAGTGAGTACACATATTTGAGTTGCTATCCCTGATTTCATACTTTCTTAAACAGTGAAATGAATAACAACTGGCCTAGATTGAGATTGAGGGATAGTAACTCAAAAGGAATAGATAGGTTCACCTATCATCTGGTTCATGCTCCTCTCTTTTGATGAGGAGTACAGGTTCATTCGTTGTTTCCTTTTTAGAATTAGATTTTTGATGCCTTGTAAATTCTACTTCAACTCAGTACATTTAACAGCTCCACTTAAACTCTGAAGTTTATACTATTATTGGATATATGGTTCCTTATATGGTCTTTTCCTCCTCTTTCTTCTCCAGTAGCCCCATGCATCTTAGTGACATTATAACCTTGTGGTGAATTGATTTTAAATAATGCATGTACCTATGAAAAATAATGATTATTGTAATAAGAAATACTGTTGGATTAAAAATCCATTAAAATACACACACACACACACACATATATATATATATATATATATATATATATATATATATAGTTTATGCAAAACTAGGTAATCCGTATGGGTAGACCCAAGGAGGATGATATCCGGAGAGTTCAATGTAAATTCAGAGCAAATATGTTTGAATAAAAACAGACTACTTTAAGGTTCATGTAATAAATTATTTCACCACAGCCCTACATAATTATCAAAGGTTATTCCAATTTAAATAATTTTATCATCAATAATGATTATTAAAGGGTAATATATTTCAATTTAAATTAAATCATCAATTTAAAATTTACATCTTTTATGTCAGTTTTCTTCTTCACCCCTTACCCATCCATATCTAGAGATAACATATGTTAAGTTAAATGATGTCTGGCCCACACCAAGTGGGGTTAGGGATAAAGAATTGAAATGGTACATCTAACTCACTCATGTCTTCTCTCCACCCTCACTTCCTCACTTCATTAATTTACATATGCTTAATATGGCCCGTCAAAATTGTGTGAATTTCTTTTCATTATAAGTGTAAGGTAGGTTAGTACCAATGTCCAGGTATTATATTTTTAAAAAAAGTCCCATCACAAAAATGTCACCATCACTAATGACCACTCTAAACACCTTCATAATCATCATTAGACTCATCCAACTCTTTCCAAATCCTCTGCACTGTCCTCAGATTGACATCCAAACACTCAGAAATGTTCGTATTGGAGCTTTCACCGCAAATACCAAACAGTGCAGCATGCTGTTTCCAAATTCCTGGCAGAGGGAATTTTGTCATGGTGCTCTTTTTCTCACTGACCCTACTTGATTATACTGGTGAAGGCTTGTGCAGAATGAACCACATTTTTTTGGAAGAGCTGAATGCATAGAACTGGTACACAGTTCTCTGTATTCAGCTTATCTGTGATGCAAAGTATGCTACAAGGTCCCCAAATAACCCTCCACAGGTTTAGCATTCAGTGTGGTCATTCTCTTAGACTGTTCACCTATGGCTATAGAACCCAGTCTATTCTACTATTTACCCATAGCTGGGGAGAGAAGAGATGGATTCATACCTTTCGCAAGGGTATTAGTACATAGATGAATGTAATAAACTCGACTGGAATACAAACTCAGTTCTCTGATTCCTCAATCCATGTTGCTATCCATTACTCCAGTGTGTTTCCATGTATATTCATGCATGTGTGTTTATTTTGTATGTATATGTGTGCCAAAATACACATTACTATATATACTTAATTCTTTAAACTTTGAAAATTATACTGTTATTGGGTTTATGATTCCTTCTAAGGTCTTTTCTTTCTCTTTCATTTCCAGTAGCCTCTTGCATCTTAGTGGTGCTATTGCCTTGCTTGGGATGAACTGATTAAAAAAAATGCATGTACCAACTTAAAATAACATTTATAAAAAATAATGTTGGATAAAAAATATATATATTTGTGCTTGTGTGTATGTAGGGGTGCTGAAATATACATTACTACATATGCTTAGGTATTGTATAGGTATTCACATATCAAATCTATGTAAAAAAAATTATATAAATATATACATATCTATTGATATATTTCTGTATCTTTTACTTATATGTATCAATTTCTGAGCCAGATCATCTCAATTTACAGTGATCTATACTTGAAGAACTATTCTTATACCCCAAAACAAGATCATATAAATTTGTCATTCACATTGTTTAATAACTAGAACCTATCATGTGTGGCCCATGATAGAGGAGACGAGATGCAGAATCATCTTTGAAATAATGAAATAAAAGAAATGTGATTGGTTCCACTTCAGTAAAGAGAGGGTTCTCTTCACCTGTTTCCAATTTTCTACTTTCACTTTCAGCTAATTTACTTTTGCAATCAAGGATATTTCAAGTTTAGTTATTTCAAGCTAATGTGGATACAGTCATTTCCATATGCGTGGAGACCATCATCTACAGATTATCAGAAATTCAAAAAATAGCATCAAATAAATTCTTCCTGCTGTTTGGCAATCATTTAATAAGTGGAATTTTCAGGCCCAAATCTTCTGTTCGGTTCTCATTCATCAGCAAATTTATTTCCAAATGTCTCATCCCAGCCCTGACCCAGCCAGCCTCAAGTTTCAAGATATTACTTCCAAACTCATTTCATCCCAAAATTGTCTCTTATTACATGATAAATGACAAGGTCCAGCAAGCAGGAATAATGCTGTCTATAAAACTTCTGATCATCCCATTTACACTACCACATTTTCTTCCACAAGTTTTGAGATTATCCGAGGTTGACTGTTTGTATCCGAGTCGTAAATGGATGGACAGACACAGTCTCTACTTCATACATAGCTATCTCTTAACTTAAAAGTGGATAGATGGTTGTGACATGTCTGAATGAATATGTTGTTGATAGGTGTCCCTAAGGTATAGACTGATTTTATCCATTAATCAGGGACAGATAATGATACAATCTTCAGTTGATGGGGGCAATGAGAGAACTCAACAAAGAACAATATTCTTCAGTCTCTTGGTCCAAGAAAATGCATTGTGATGGAAAGGTCATCATAGGTTTTGTTATAAACATGTTGATGCGCTAATCAAACGCAAAGAACTGTATAATTACTTGGAAATATATGGTGATAAAAATTTAAAATGGTAATGAAATTCAGTGTCTGTATAATCGAACACAAGAAAGACAGGACTGTCAAATAAAGATTGACTGATTCATTCATTCTTTTTTCTATGGCTTATCAACCATTTGCTGGTTATTTAAAGCCGTAATAATTTTAGATTGGAAGAATTTTTGTTTAATAATAATGGTTTTAGTGATACAAATCTTACTAATAAACCTAAAACTAGGGGGAAAATTGATTCCTACCTTTCCCAAGGTTATATGCACATAAGTGAATATAACAAACCCAATGGGAATTGGAACTTGGTTCTCCTATTAACAATTCTGAACCATTATCGATTGCACTGACCATGTATTCAAACCTGCAGCACCTGATATTCCCAAGTGGTCACCCGTCTAGATACTGATCAAGGTCGATGTTGCTTAATTTCGATGAACATATGGGAACCAGTGTTTTAATGTGTGTCAAATAAAGAATACTTGATGAGGTACTAAATGAAACAAAGTGATGATACCTCAGGATTTTGTAGGTGGGGAAATCCCTTTTTGGGTGTCCTGAGAAATTTTTAACAACCCCCAGGCCTTTAATAATATAAACTAAGACCTTTTATTTGCTATTTCTAATAATATACCTGAAACCATCCTATGGACAGAAAAAAAGTAAATTGTAATAAAAGTTCTCTCACTATCAGTCTATATTTCTAAGATTGTAATTATTTACTATATTTACATTCTTCAAACTGTTGTCCTCATCTTATTGCCATATTCATGATGTTTTGAACATTGTACGCTGCAGCCTGAAGAAGTTGAAATTACAATCAACTGAAGAAGTTGATTGTAATTTCATCAAGGACACGTGGCTTATTGGATAAAAGTGTTGGTTGGATCCAGTATCTTGACCCAAAGAGTTGTGAGTTCAGTACCTGGCTAATGCAGTAGTGAACAAAAACTTGAAGAGTTGAGTTCAAGGGAGATAACTGAGACATCCGGAAAAGGCATGCCATGTGGAACTAGAACAATATAACCCAGTGGATGAAATAAAGGGTTCAGTTTGAAATTCCAATAAACTGAAGATGGCCGGAGTGTACAATGGCTGAAACTTCATGAATATGGCAATAAAGATGAGGACAACAGTCTGAACAATGTAAATAATATAAATAAGTTCTCTCATCACCGTAAAATTTCTGCATACACAACATTTTCAGCAAGACATCTAAATTTCTTTTGGTCATTATGCTAAATCCACTTTGTGGGTGATGAATTATTTTCAACTCTACAACCCCTTTCCGACAGACAAAAAGTTGCTAGCTTCTCACTACTCTAATCACTATTTCCATGGCAAATGTTCTGAGGAGCTACATTCCTTAGTTCCACCAATTCAGACTTTCACAGCTAACACCCACCATATTATGTACACTGGGGCCAATCATCCTCATTCACTTTCTATTCCATTGGTAAGAAGGAAGTTACATTTGGTCAGCTTCTTCCCATGAATTGTTGCTTTGTAGAACAGACTCCTGAGATGATGCTTCCTCAATCTTAACCTTTTCATGTCCAGGGTCAACTGTTCTTTATCCTACATAACCCCATGACCTGTATTTTTTATCTCTTCCTCTTATATCAATAAAACAACCACATTCAGTAACCCTTTACCATGAGTGGCACTTGGGCTATGTATGGGATGAAAAATAGTATAAAAAGGAATATACATTGCATTTATTTGGTAATGTTGAAATAACATTTTCAGCAAGACATTTATTTTCTAAAATTTTTTTGTCATTATGCTAAATCCACATGAATTTCCTATTCTTGACATAGTTACATAAAATTGACCATAACAGAAACATGAATAAGTTTCTAATGTTTATATTGATAATAGTAATAATAATGAATTCAACAAACTTAGTATTTTTTCAATTTGGTACAGTTTTAAGAAAATCTAATTAAACAGATTATTTTGACTTATTTAGATAATGCCATAATATTTCAGCTCCATTTGACAAATTTGTAATTTGAGGCAATGTTGAAATCCTTTTCTAAAGTTCTTTTTGTCATTAAGTTCACTTAAATTTCCTATTCTAGATATAGTTACATAAAAATGACCAGCAGAGAAACATCTGAATGTTTTTTTTTTTAATGTTTATATTACTAATAAAAATTTATTCAGTAACATTACTGTTTTCACTTGTTTAGATAATTTGGTAGTTTTAAGAAAATCTTATTAAGCAGATTAATTTGAATTATTTATCTAATTCTATGAAAGGCTAACAAATGTAAAGTTACCTGAAAATATTTGGGGATAAACATTTATATGATGATGAAATTCAGCGTCTGCCAATATTTTAAGATTCCCTGGATGAAATTCTAATTATGCTTTTTTATAATTATTTGGGTGTATCAAAAGTATTTTCAATTTTTATTTTTTACTTTAAGTTAATTATTTATTAAATTTAAATTTTGGTTGACCTGAGAAACTTTCAGCAACCCCCATCAGTATTTTCAGGTGACTAATTTTTTTTTTTTAATAAGGCCTTTGATCAAACAAAACTTTTCATCTTTATTCTGAATACTAAAAGAAATAAGATTGTAACTAACACTGTCAGACCCCAAATTAGAGAATTCTATAAAAAAATTTAGTATTTTCTAAAATTATTTACTTTATTTTTAGAAGCCAAGATTGCATTTATTTTATATTTTACTTAAATTTAAACAATTTGATATGATTTTAGTTAACTTATGACTGAATTTTGATAAAAATTCCTTCCTATAGAAGCATGAATAAAAAAAATATTGGCAAAAACATTCTTTATGTATATATATATTTGACAAATTAGAAGTTTGAATCAAAAATAAAATGAAATATTTATTACAATATGCTTTTAAGAATTTTTATGCAAATTAATTTTTATTGTTTATGTTGTAAACACAATTTAATTCTGCAGAGTTTTTGACCAGTTAACTTTTATTGCTGCCATGATTAGAATGTGGAGATTCCTTACACTAATATTCTTTTGGTTTAGTTTGGTAAATGACTTCATCAATTGTAAATAAACCTTGTTATGTTATATAACTGTTTCAATTTTAAACCCAGCCCCACTAAAATTGTGCATAAGATACTAGGTAGGGTCTCATATATAAAATGTGGTATTATGTTGAGTGTGTAAGATTGTGTAGCATATTTTTGGTAAAAGAGATTATGTTAAAGATGATGGGTCAGTGATTGAGTTTAGCTTGGTTAATGACATGACAGTTGAAGACTAGCTTTCCCCTTTTTAACCCTTGCAGCACATTTATACTTTTTGTATAATAAATAATCATTATAGGATAGGTAGTTTTGTTTTCCTGGTGTAAGGTAGGGACATATAGACAAAATTAGGTCATACATGCATTTCTAAAAGATTATTGGGGAGTATCAAAAATATTTTCACTTTTTTTTTGCCTCTTAAGAATTCCTGCATTTTGTTAAAGATTACTTTACACTTATATGGGCACATGGCTGAGTGGTTAGAATGTTCACATTCTGACCATGAGAATCAGGTTTGAATCTCACCATAGTCAATTTATCAGGAAGGAAACTTCCCGGTATTATTGGACTGGAGGGGTTGATCCCAGAATGTGGCAACTTTGAAAAGTGTCTGAAAACCATATCATGGGTTGACTCAAGACTTGTGAGTGAAATTGGGTAGATGAAACTCTTGGGTGTTGTCGATAGCTGTGCTAGGACAAAGTCACAAGTCATCATGGCTGAGGGCTTGAGTGTGCTGGCCTTGTTCAAACTGTATACCACACTAGATAACATGCTCTTTCCCAGAAACTGTAACTAAGGTCTGCTCAGCATAGTTGCAGTATAAACCATAGGTGGGCTCTGTGGGTGTTGAACACAAATGCGCTTGTGGCTGAGTGGTTAGTGTCTTTGCATTCCATCCATAAGATCTGGCTTTGGATCTCATCATGTGGATTTGTTAGGGAGGTGACTTCTGGATTATATTGGCACAATTCAGAAGTGGCTGAAAAGCATACCACTGGCTGACAAAAGTCTTGGGTAGACAAAACTGTTTGGAAACCACCAATGGTTGTGCTAGTACAAAGTCACAAGTCATCATGGCTGAGGGCTTGAGTGTGCTGGCCTTGTTCAAAAAGTTCATGATTCTGGCTCTTCTGAAAGTTTTTGACTGCCTTTAGTCAGGGTCTCTGCTGCCTCACATTTTAAAGCACCTTAAACAACTGGTAGTCATCCAATTCTGGAGCATTTATTTCAAGTGCTAAGATACCAATTTGAAAGAGCCCCATATGTTGAAAAGATAATAGTTAATTCTAAACTTCAAGAAGTCAAGATTGTAGTGGTTGGGAAAACAACCTGCTGAGTCTGTTTCACAGAACAGCAGTTCTTGGTAAGAACATGCTCGAATGGAAGTTACTTCTTACTAATGAAATACAAAGGTAATGGGGATGATTCACTCTTGTGTACATGGCATAGTTGTTCCCAGTTGTAAAGGTCAGGGCTAGTGGGTCTAAGGAATGTAGCTCATCAGAAGTCATGCCATGAAAATAGCAATTGAATAGTGAGAGGCTTACAATGTTACATCTGTGGAAAAGCAGTTGTATGGTGGAAAATAATGTATCATACACAAGGCTGTGTAGACACCTTTGAACTCTATCAAGACAGGCAAGTAAGGATTGGCTAATTTCAGCCCTGATATGGCAACAATACTCCATTTTTGGTATGATCTGGCTCTTGTAACAATAGAATATAGCATATATTATATTTTCTTCTATGGATCATCTCTCTTCAGGATGTTGGCAATTATGGCTCTCCACAAATTCCTGTCCTTTGTAGCATTTAATAAATTTTATTTTTTAGTATCACTCCTAAACCTTGTTCTGACATCCATTTACTCAAGCTCAGTAGATGGGTTATGCATTACTTTCCTTTATCGCTCTTGTCTTCAATATATCTTGTGAGTATCAAATTTTCCTAAATCTCTCCTCATTATGTTCCCTAGAAATTTCAACTGCCATTTTCTGATGTTGAGTACAAATTTCCTTTTTGTTTCCATTCTCTCTAAAACTTTGCCATTGCTCACATATTTAGTCCATGGTATTCTCAGAATCCTGTTGTAGAATCACATTTCTGATGCTTCAAGTCTCTTCTTCATCTGAGGAAATTGTCCTACATTTTCTGCCATATAGGTGAACTGACATTATGTAATAGTTCTGTCAGAAATGTTTAAAACATGAATATCCATGTATTATATGATAAAAGATTTATAGAGACATTGTAGAAGGTTTTCATACCACCTGCACACCTCTGTTTAAGTATATATGTATTCTTTCTACAATGTAGGTCAGATTTGCAAAGATTTTTGGTCAATATACTTCTCCTTGTATGTATGACAATGAAAAATTACTGACACTACTCTAACCCAAGAAGTATAAATATCCATAAATTACAGGCTTGAG